CAGGCGACAACACCAAGTACACCTTTGATCATGGGTCACAAATAAATTCGATCCTGATGAAAAAAAAATCAACTTTTTACACCGTTTTATTAGCTTTATTCACGCGCCATCATGTTAGTACAGCTAAATGAAACGATAATTTCATAAAATATATCATGAAAATACTGAAACATAAAACCAGCAGTGGAATGACTGAATTTATATCACCTGACTGAAAGGTCAATGTACGCGCGAACGCAAATTCGCGCGGCCCGCAACTAGCGGGCCAAACCACAATATCTAATAATTTACAACACTTGTCTAAATACCTTACTTATCTACTTAACCTACTATTTTGCCACTGTGCTTGTCTCCACTTAGCCACTTTAATCCGAATTTACAGGTTAAATAACCCAAATAACTGGTTCGATTCCCCGCTAATGAAAAAATACTTAAATGAAATGTAACCAAAGTTGGAGTCATGAGTTTTTATTCATCGTGTATGTTTATTATTCTCATGTATTCAGTTATGTACCTATTCAGATTAGTCTAGTACTAAGTTATTTAAAAAAAAATAGGTATGAAACAGCTTACCGCTCTAAATCCTCCGTGGTCTTATGAGATGCGGCTCAAATTGTGCTCCATTCATTTCAAGGTAGATTTGGGTGCAGGCGGGGCATCATCGTGTGGTCTTCGACACAGTCCGTACGTAGTTTCTCGAAACCATCCACGATCCTTTGGCGCATTTCTTCAGCACTATCACATTCACGATTAAAAACCCTTTCTTTTACATACCCCACAAAAAGAAGTCTAACGGAGTCAGATCTGGTGAGCGAGGTGGCCAAGCGTGTGGTCCTAGTCTGCCGATCCAGCGATCATCAAATAACTCATTGAGGCGCTCACGGACGAACCTCACGAAATGTGGAGGGGCACCATCATGTTGGAACCATGTGCGGCGATATTCAGCCAACGATAGGTCGTTTAAAATGTCAACCAACTGTTCATTTATAAAGTTTAGGTATCGCTGTCCGTTCAGTCGCTCTGTCAGAAACACTGGTCCCAGTATGCGATCCTTAAATAAACCTGCCCATACGTTAACCGACCATCGGGTTTGGTGCCCGGTTTGTCGAACAGCGTGCGGGTTAACCTCTGAATACACGTGTGTATTTCTTCGGTTCCACAGGCCGTTTCTGGTAAATGTCGACTCATCCGTCCAGATAATGTGCTCAATGGAACCAGGCACACGTTGTTGCTGGTATAATAACCAACGGCAGAAAACTCGTCGGCGGTCGTGATCGCCGGGAACTAAAGCTTGCACTTTGTGCAATTTGTATGGGCGCATTGGTTACGCTTCAACACTTTGTGCACTGTACAGTATGACACACTTGTACGATCCCGACGTCTTAACAATTTATTTAGCGATACTTCGTGTACCTAGGTTCGGATACCTAACATGTTGACCACTATAAACGTACGCGTTAGGCATTATTAAAACAAAAAAGAATCCAAAAACGTAACAAAAACTTTAATATCAACACGTAATCACAAGTAAATTTATTAAACAAAACGATTGAACTGTCGCTCGCGCACGCGTGTACAAAATCAACACGGAACTGTTTCAAAAACTACAATTAATAACGAACCCCGACGAATAAACGGAAACCTACTGCGTCACAGCGTGACGACACGAGCCGGCCGGGTTACATTCTGCGAGGCGACATGAGCCGGCCGGGTTACATTCTGCCGTCATACGAAATAAAGAAGTACGCAACTAACAAAAACGTAAAATGGAAATAAAAAATAAATTTATGAATTTTTCTTTCAGACCCCGTGTCTAAAGTATATTAAAAGGTATCTATATGAAAATTGAAATATGTACGTAGAGACATGAAGATTTTAAGGACGAACTTATTTTTTGATAATTTGTTTATTTATTTAAATAAAACGAATTTTCCTTTTCATCTTAGATTAAAAAATACACCTGGCAACACAAAAACATCGAAGGAAAGACGCATATAACTATTTGCGTCTTCCCAACCTAATAAATAAAAAAAACTGCCATTCATTTAACATTTTTACATATTTTGGAAAGGTCATTTGAAGTTGAAAGGACGCTAATAGTAATTTACTACTTTTTTCTTAGTAAATATTAGAAAAGCATTGGTAGTCAGACACAAAAAATAACAACCCGCAACTCTTGAGTAATGATTTTAAAGGGGATATCATACAAGACTTACTACGATAATAATTAAAAATTTTGTACAACCGACTTTAATATAAATAATTAAGGATGACTCAAAAACTATTGGTCTGACCTCGATCAAATTTATATGGGACCACATGTGAAACACCAGCTCTTAGTAATAAGATATAAGCTCTTAATAATAAGATATAGAATAAAAAGACAAGAATAATTGAAATTTAAGTAATCGATGCAAATATTGTTAAAGATGACGTAGCCACTGGTTAAATAAGTCTTTTCTTTTATGTTGAAGTCTTTTCTAATAAAAAGATGTCATCTGTGATCAACAGTTACGTCTAAAATCCTTACGATAATTTCTAAAATATTGATATTTGTGAATATTAAAAAAATTTAGTAGATGCGCCTTCTTATCATGAGTCATGGTATATTTAACTCATTTATTCAAAAATTGTTAGATGCGCCCTTTTTTCTTCCGACCGCATACCATTGTTTCGTACCGAGCTAGATACAGGTCGACAGCGGAGGAAGTGTGGGTACAGTCGCGTTCTAAAGTACTACATGGTATTGGGCTATTGTTTTATAATATTATAGTAATTAATTGTTTAATTGTGGAATCATAATAGGTGTTTTACTATTTACTTAGAACTTTGGAAGAGGTGGGAATTAAAAATGGATAATGTTTACTTGAGCATTATTTGTTATTTCTATCGTAAAATATAAAGTAGTTTGTAACAAAAAAAACTTAAGGGTGACACGCCGTCCATTATGACGTCTTGGGTCACATGAAAGTCAGATGTTGATGGTGTGTTGGTATTACTGGATGCTACTTCATCATCACTTTCATCTTCGCTTGAGCTTCCGTCATCAGGTCGATCACATGGTAATTTTTTCGGTATTCTCCCTCAACACTTTACTGCACAATTTTCCCCATTCACCTTCTCATATCATATTTACCTTTTCGTTCACTAGTTTAGTCATAAAACAATAGATATAAATAATTTTTGTTTCCTTCCTTTTTAAAACATCGTCGCGAGTCGCAAAGTAAGCTGTGTATGCGACTGTATTTTTGGAGCGAACAAAGCGCGTGAACCAATAGCATGCAGGCACAGTAATACTGGCGGATTGATCCCCCGTCGCACCCCCCTCGTACCTATATGTGATAAATCGCTCAATGCCCAAGTTCAAGGCCAGCGTTCTTTTTTCACCGTTCGCGCGTACATTAACCTCCATTAGTCAGGTGATATCAATTCAGTTTCCACTGCTGGTTTTATGTTTCAGTATTTTCATGATTTTTTTTATGAAATTATCGATTCATTTAGCTGTACTAACATGATGGCGCGTGAATAAAGCTAATAAAACGTTGTAAAAATATGATTTTTTTTTCATCAGGATCAAATTTATTTGTGACCCATGATCAAAGGTATACTTGGTGCTGTCGCCTGTCTTAGTTTTCGGGAGCGTTCCAAAAATACCCTGTATATAAAATGAGTTTTATTATTTTTCTATAATTTTTCAAATAAAAATGTATTTTAATTAAAGCCACAGAAAAAAAACGAACATTTTTGAGAATATCAAATGACTGAAATCATTTTACTGTATTAAAATGTTGCCATTTAGTATATTCATACTATTTTCGTATGCACTTTGTAACACTACCAACACAACACACCAAATATTCTTATATTAAGTTATTATTAGTAATAACTGTACTATCTCAAATAACAAAAATAAAAGTAATATGGCTGAGAATAAGTCTCTTACAAAGAATTTTCTGCAATAATACATTATCTCAATCATAGTACTATGTAACAATTCCATTTAATGTTATGCCAACACTAGCTAAAATAAAATGTCAGTTTTTTTACTGGCTTTACGGCTCTGGGTTTTAGCCCTTCTGAGAATGTCACTATGGTACAAAAGCCCTGGAGCCATGTCAGAAATATACAATTATAGTATGCAAATATATAATAGAGATACAATAATCTAAAAACTCTCAATTATCTATTATGTATTAAGCTAACATCAAACAACCACAGGAAGCATGACTTTTTCCAAGTGACATAGGACATAACCTAAAAAGGTTCAAATGTAAATATCTTTTTTTGACGCCTTCTCAATACGAAATTCTTTGACAAAGTTATTAAGGGACTGACGCTTAACATTTTAAGATATTTTTGGTATATAGACGCTACCATTTCTTCTCAACTAATTTTATGTATGAAAGTCTGCCATTGCTCTTTAAACAAAGAAAATTATACATCCGTAAACTTCATTCATTTTCTTTGGACTTTTGACGCCACTTTTGTAATTTTCCACTGTATACACTTTCACTTTGAAAAGTATACAAATTAAATTTAATTAAAAAAGTTTTGTAAATATTAAAAAATGATCTACTTCAGTTTATTGGTAATCAGCAAGTTGATCCCATTTGGGGTATACCTATAAGATAGACCTATCTCCTGCTTAACGTTACCCTCACTGCCTTAGAACTAAGATGGAATGTCTTTATGCCAGTAAAGAGGGTCTCCGATTCTCACCATACGAAACAGCAGCATCATATTGCTGTGTTACGTTGGTTTTCTGTAAGTTTTAAAGTAAAGGTACTGCTGTATAGTATTATTTTTTTAAACTTCATACATACAATAGTATGTATAGGTGGACTTATTTTATATTATATTGTATAGTATTGTATTAGTACTGAAATCTCGCTTAATTTTCCATAAATTTTTATTACATAAAATAACTTTTATTACAACCTTTATCTTTCGCACGTATTTGACACATTTACAACTAACTTTACGCCTTGTAACATTACATCTTAATTATTAAGTTGTTGATTGACCACCTTACATCTCTCCGTAGCTGCTGTGACTGCACCTATTATAGCAGAGCGAAAACCTAGAAAAGAAATATTTATTTTGTAAATTTTTATTTTTTGCAAGTATTGCTTCGTTAAAACATGATTTCGTGAAAATTCAAACCATTCTGTTCAAGATGATAAGTTCCCTCGGCAGTAGATCCTCCCGGACTTGTGACGTTATCCTTTAAAGCGGCCGGGTGACCTCCAGTGCGGAGCATTGCCGCCGCTCCCAGGGTCGTCTGTGCAGCAAGCCTTAAAGCCAGATCGCGAGGTAGTCCGCATCGGACCCCACCGTCTGCTAAAGATTCTATAAGCATGTAAACCTAAAACATAAAAAGAATTAAGCTATACTTTCCACAGCTGGGCACATTTTTGAGAATGTAATGGCGCTGTTATCCCACCGCTCAGCTCTAGTGCATATTTACCTCATAACAAGTCCTCAATTTTTTTATTATGAGAAATGCAGGCTTGGGTATTATGTTTGGTGAAGACGACGATGTTTACGAAGGGCGTATATTGAAATTAAATAGCGATTAAAACTGAGAATGACATTTTGACGGGGTTCAAAGTCAACCCGAGTTTAATTGCCTAAAAGCTAATCTATCATTTTTGGAATTTACTGTAGGCACAGACCAATTTCAAAATAAGGGTCAGTTGATATTTATTACCATGAAAAAAATGAATGGTTGTTGCTAAACCAATGGGTGAATACAAACAGTCCAGCCCTGGAACAATATGGAGAAGTGGATAGTAGTGGTAGAGTAGGAGATGCGGCTGAGGGAAACAAACCAGAAGATGAGTAGCATCGTCTTCCTAAAAACAATTGAAAATAAAATAAGACTGAAAACTGAGGTTGCCCACCCGCTTGGCAAGCATGGCAAATACCCACTCTAAGACCTATGAGGGAGGCCTGGACTATGTTCAGCAGTGGACTTTTGATGGGATGTAACGGTAATCTTAATACTGGGAATTGAATTTTTTTCTTATAATACTTTTAAACGTATCAGTAAGCAGAGTGCAGCCTTCTTCTAGATTAAGTTACAACCTGGTAATAGAGGAGGAAGTGGATGGATGCGGGTGGCTTAAAACTGTGTTTTATGGCATACCTTGGGGGAGGCCTATATTCAGCATTTACGCGGTAGAACCACGCTGTAGATATATTATAGTTGTAGGTTGTGGCAAGAACAATCTCATGAATTAATGATGAGTCGAACCGACCGCTCTACCAGAGAAGGCCCACATTCTCAGAAAGCACCAGTGTAAAAAGCAGCTTAATGCTGCTGTGAATGATGAATGTAGAAAACCGGAGAGCGTTTTTGCTGGAAACGAGACATTCCATCTTAATCCTCAGGGGGCACAATGCATCTGCGTTCCGATTCTTAATCGATAATAGATTTGGGTGTCTAGGGCTTGCGGCATCCACTTACCATCACATGGACTGTGGACTTATTTGTCATCTTTATTCAATAATAAAGCAGTGGACTTGTAAAGGGCTGTATCAAGGGGGTGCTAAGAATCTCCGGTGGAGGTTCGGTTGCCACCTTAGACGACTCGACCTGGCAACGTACAACGCACGCACCCTGAGGACTGACGAGAAGATCGTGGAGCTGGAAGAAGAGATAGACAAGTTGCGCTGGCATATTATAGGATTATCCGAAGTCCGAAGAGAGGGGAAGGACACGGTAATCCCCGAATCCGGCAACTTGCTCTATCACCGGGAGGGCGACCATCTGTCCCAAGGAGGTGTCGGATTTATCGTCCACAAGTCTCTCGTTAACAACGTTGTAAAGATCGGGAGTGTGTCGACGAGGGTTGCGTATCTTATACTCAGAATCACCAAACGGTATTCGCTGAAGGTCATACAGGTTTACGCACCAACCTCGGCACACCCCGATGAGGAGGTGGAGGAAATGTATGAGGATATCTCTAGAGCCATGCATTCGTCCAAAACCCAATATACGGTGTTAATGGGAGACTTTAATGCAAAACTAGGCACAAGAGAGAACGGTGAGCTGAAAGTAGGGAAATTTGGAATACGGCAACGGAACCTAAGGGGCCAGCAGCTGGCCGACTTCATGGAGAAAGAGGAACTCTTTATGATGAACTCTTTCTTCCAGAAGCGGCCCCACAGGAAGTGGACCTGGTCGAGCCCCGACGGTTCGACAAAAAATGAGATTGACTTCATTATGACGACCAGACGACAACTGTTTAGTGATGTCTCCGTGATCGCGAGGGTGAAACTGGTAGCGATCACCGAATGGTTAGAGGCACACTGAACCTAAACGTTAAGTTGGAGAGGTCTCGTCTAATGAAGTCAACGCTCCGTCCCCCTCGTGCTCTAATCCAAAGTCCCGAAACCTTTAAGCTCGAGTTACAAAACCGTTTTCAGTGCCTAGAAGACTGCAATGAAGTGGACGATATGAATGACAAGCTCGTGGAAACTGTCCATGCGGTCGGAGCTAAGTTCTGCAAGACCCGCCGCAGAAGAACACAAAAACTCTCCAATAACACTCTTAATCTCATGGCTGTTAGACGGGAGATGAAGCTACATTCTTCAACAGACTTGACAGCATACAGGCATCTGAACAGACAGATCTCCAAATGCATGCGGCGGGACTTATGCAACTTCAATACAGCTCGTATTGAAGAAGCGATCGAGCGGAACCAAGGCTCCAAAGTCTTTGCTAGAGATTTGTCTGCCAGAAAGAGCCAACTGTCAAAGCTGAAGACAGAATGTGGCAGCATCGTTTCCGGTACACCTGAGATTTTGAGTGAGATTGAGAGGTTCTATGGGCAGTTGTACACGTCATCGTTGGAGCCACACGCAAGTGTGAGTAACGATCCAAGAGCGAGTCTCATCCGACACTATTCCGAAGATATCCCGGACGTCAGTCTGAGCGAGATTAGAATAGCTCTCCAGCACCTTAAAAACGGGAAGGCCCCAGGCGAGGATGGAATTACAGCGGAGCTTCTGAAAGCGGGTGGAAAACCGGTACTTGAAGTCCTTCAGAAGCTCTTTAATTCCGTCCTCCATGGTGGCATTACACCGGAGGCGTGGAGCAGAAGTGCGGTGGTCTTGTTCTTCAAGAAAGGCGACAACGCTCTCTTGAAGAACTACAGACCGATTTCCCTTCTGAGCCGCGTCTACGTGCTGTTTTCGAGAGTCATTACGAATCGTCTTGCGCGCAGACTTGACGACTTCCAGCCTCCCGAACAAGCCGGTTTCCGAAAGGGCTTTAGCACCATAGACCACATACATACCCTTCGGCAAATTGTACAGAAGTCCGAAGAGTACAATTTGCCACTATGTCTGGCGTATGTGGACTATGAGAAAGCCTTTGATTCCGTCGAAATTTGGGCGGTGCTGCAGTCCCTTCAGCGGTGCCAAGTTGACTGTCGGTATATCAAAGTGTTGAAGTGCTTGTACAGTAGGGCTACGATGGCTATCCGAGTACAGAACCAGAGTACGAAACCTATCCAATTGCAGAGAGGTGTAAGACAGGGTGACGTCATATCCCCGAAACTCTTCACCGCTGAATTGGAAGACGTTTTCAAGCTTATGGACTGGAAAGGATACGGTATCAACATCAATGGCGAGTACATCACTCACCTTCGATTTGCCGACGATATAGTCCTTATGGCAGAATCGCTGGAGGACCTAAGCACTATGCTCAATGACCTCAATAGTGTTTCCCAACGGATAGGTCTTAAGATGAACATGGACAAAACTAAGATCATGTTTAATGTCCATGTCACACCTATGCCGGTAGTTGTTGGGAACACTAAGCTCGAAGTTGTTGACGAGTATGTTTACCTGGGACAAATAGTCCGACTAGGTAAGTCCAACTTCGACCGAGAGGTCAATCGACGGATTCAACTCGGTTGGGCAGCGTTCGGGAAATTACGGCACATCTTCTCGTCAGGTATACCTCAAACCTTGAAAACGAGACTGTACACCCAGTGCGTGTTGCCAGTGATGACATACGGAACTGAGACGTGGTCCTTCACTGCTGGCCGGATGTGGAAGCTCAAGGTCGCTCAGCGAGCTATGGAGAGGGCTATGCTCGGAGTTTCGCTGCGTGATAAACTTAGGAATGAGGATATCCGCAGTAGAACCAGAGTAACCGACATAGCCCAACGGATTAGTAATCTGAAGTGGCAGTGGGCCGGCCATATAGCTCGAAGAACCGACAACCGATGGGGAAGAAAGGTTCTCGAGTGGCAGCCTCGTACCGGTAGGCGAAATGTAGGGCGTCCCCCCACGAGATGGAGTGACGACCTGGTAAGACATGCAGGAAGTCGATGGATGCAGGTGGCTCAGGACCGTGCTTTGTGGCATTCTTTGGGGGAGGCCTATGTTCAGCAGTGGACTTGTGAAGGGCTGTAATGATGATGATGATGATGATGATGATGTATCAAGCTGTATTGATGATTATAATGAATATTTTTTCTTAAAGAATACAACTTCATTGCTTTAGAGATATTGAATTGTTCCACTGATTTCTATGTTATCACACGCACTAAATGAATACTATTTGTGTATGTATTATAGTATTCTATGCACGCAACGTCAGCAAAGAAATGCATGTAGGATGAAACTTTAGTAAACTTTACTTATCACCCATAATTTTATTTGGTTTTGGTAATAGATATAGTTAGTTTGCATTGTACTCACATAAGCAGGACCACTTCCACTCAGAGCTGTGATAGCGTCCATCTGGTACTCTGGAACCTCGTCACAAGTACCAACTGCACGGAACAGCTGCGCAGTAAGTTTGGCATCTTCATCTGTCGCTCTCGATCCTCGGCTGAGAGCTGCAGCGCCTTCTTTGACAAGAGCTGGTGTGTTCGGCATTACCCGAATAACACGAGCTTCTAATGGTAAACTCTAAAATACGCAATAGGAAATGAAAGAAAAATATGTACCTAAGTTAATAAATTAATTAAACCGTGTAATTGCGGTATAAAAATATCCGTTACCCCAAATCATCCCATGGGTATCGTAGAGAGACGAAAGAGGAAACTTAATCAGGAGAGCAGCAGGTTATTGATAACAACTCAATAGCGCTTTGGGAACTAGATCTAGCGCTTTTTTGGAATGTATAGCGCGTAGCGCGCATTTCAAAATTTTAGCACCTAGCGCTTAATCCAGCGCTTTTTGGTGTATTTTTATTTTATAGGATAAGGGTGACAAACGAGCACACAGTCCACCTAATGGTAAGTGGTTGCTTTGGCCCATAAACATCAACATCTATCTTCGATTACGAATCAAAATGCAGATAGATGGATTGTCACCCGTGAGGACTAAGATGGAATGCCTCGTTTCCAGTAAAAAGGGTCTCCGGTTCTCTACACTCACCAAACGAAACACAGCAGCGTTAAGCTGCTATTTTACACAGGTATTCTGTGAGAGCGTGGTTCTTCCCCGGTCGAGCCGACCCATTCGTGCTACAACCATAATATAGCTGCTGCGTGCCTCTACCACGTATAAATAATAGAAATAATAGAAAACTGCAGTTGGCAAACCGCTTGCCAAGTGTGGCAATTATGAAAAAATCCTACCAATGAGACAAGTTAAGTTGTTCCTGTTCATCAGTGGACTATAAGCTGTTATTATTATTATGTAATAAACTAATCAAATGAACCTATGAATAATTAATGTAATGAAGTCGTGGTAGCTCCGAGGCTAAGGGTGCGTACAGATTAAGTAACATGTTGTATAACTTATATAGTTTTATAACACGTCCACATTATGTAACATTGTTTTTCAACATTGCAGCATATAACAATACTGTACACATTAGAATAAAAATGCAATATAACAATATTATATGACATTGTCGTATGACATTGTCGTTTGCGGTTCTGCCGTTCGAGTTACATAACATTTGTGTCACGTTATATAACACGTTTTATACAATTCAACCATCACATTACTGAAACATGTTATATAATTTTTATAACATTTTATGTTATATAATGTGTACGCACCGTAAGAGATTGTTGGGCTCGACTTCGACCCCAGCCGGCAGAAATGAAATTGTTTGTTGCATTTTTAAGTGCTTATTTAACATGTGCTCGGCGGTGATGAAAAACCTAATAAAACTAAATTGGTGCATTTGTTTAACGTTAATAATCTACATTTAAACGGCAATAAAAATAAATGTTTTAAATTTACAACAACGAATGTTAAAAATGTGAATGCCAACGTGTTTCTAAATGGGGAAGAACTGAGCCCTATTGAATCCACTATTTTTCTTGGCATCACTCTCGGCGCAGAGCTTCGATGGGGCCCCCATATATCCAAACTAGCAAGCAGACTAAGCTTTGGAGTTTATGCCTTATGCTGTAGAAACTATTAGAGGTCGCACTAGTGTCGAGGCAGCTAGATTAGATTCTTTCAGTTATTTCCATAGCATAATGTCTTAAGGGTTTTGCTATGGGGAAATGCGGCTGATTTAGAAACTATTTTTTTTGTAGTGTAGGGTCATAATAGCTATTTACAACCTAAAACAGAGACTCTTGAGAAAAATTTAAAGAAATATATTAACCTTGCCCTCAGTATATTTATTTAAATTTAATGTATGTTCACAAAAACAAAAGAAGATTTTGTAAAACAAGTAATATACACTCTGGCAATACTAGGAACACACACAAGCTAGTGATACCAGTTTCTCGACTCCGCATATTGTATAATTTACTTAAAAAAAAAAAGTCCCGCTTTGTTTCTTGTTGGTCTTTCTCAGGACAAAGGTTTTTTTTCCGAACCAGTGGTACAGTAAAAAATTACTTTCAATAAGAATTACATGTAAGTAATCTATATTTAAAAAGTTATTCTATTCTATTCTACATATTAATACGTATAGTGAAACCTTTGTATTCCTTTCGCACGTATCAGTGTGAGAATTGACATAGTTAAAGTTTACAAATATAACAAACAAAATAAAAAACACATATTTGTTGCTTGGACAAATTTTACCTAACCTAACCCAGCACGGCTAGCATGGGTTGGGGGGACAGAAAATTTATCCCCCGATTATAATCACTTACAAGAGATAAAATTATCTTGTCCTTATGCCAAAGCACGGCAACGGGGCGAAGTATAACCCCGTTTGACATAACTAGTAGACATATATCCCCCGTCCGTAGCATGGAGCCAAATGAAAGATAAAAAATTATACTTTTTTGACATTTGAAAGGGACAATTTTATCCTAGTTCATTGGATGTGGGTTTATTTTTATATTCATACTAAAAATCTATCTATCTCACATTATCTACTGTGGATATTATATCCACCGGTGTGCCCATGCTCGAAGGGTGGATAAAACTAAGCGAGATGATAAACATTTTCTCCTTTCCCCGGGGATAAAATTGTTTCCTGCCCATGCTAGCTCTGCTGGATACACTAGCAGTATGCACGCCAAACAAGTGAAGACAAATGACATAATTTTTCCGAGTGACATTATGTGTTTGGGTGTTTGGCATAAGCAATATAAACGTAAATAATATAAGTTTAATTTCATTTATTTTAATGTACTTGTAAGACATATTATATAAAATTTACTTAGGTACTGCTCTCCTTCTCCTATAAGCTTTAACTATGCCAAATCTCACATTCCTCCGTTCAAATAATATGCTTGAATAAGAGTAGAAAGTTGTCCCTTCACGTAATATATAATAGAAGATTAATATTATGTATTTTGTTGAACCAGTCATTCAGCTTTATTGGTTTTTTTAAATCGTTATACACTAGGAATTTCTTCTGTATTTTGAATGTGTACTCACATAAATTTCTAATGAACAAACTTCTAAATCCCAAACAATTATTTTAAAGACATACCAAATACTTGTTCCGTGTGGGATTTGAATTCACGGCCCACAACGCCGAAGCCAAACGCTTAGCCACTACGCTATAGAGTTTGTATACTACGGTAAGCAGTTTTGCTGGGTTTTGGAGGGAAAAATAAATGACATAATACCTTTTCAACAGTTGCGGTTGTAATTCCCATTGCCACAGATATGAAAAGTTTATTCTTGGAGGCTGGCAAATCCTTAACTTCTCGAAGTGCCGGCACCACCACATCGGGTTTCACCGAAACAATTACAACTTCGGAACGTTCTACAACCGGTTTGTTTTCGAACACAGCTGTGGCTCCTAAATCCTGAAACGTTAACGTAATGATGCGATGAATTAAATTGTTTTTTTTTTTTAAATAAATTATTTGCTTATACAAGAAATAACACAAGACAAATTTCAACACACGCAATATTTCCTCAATCAATCTTTTTTATGTCATTATCGTCATTACAGTCTCTTAAAATCATGCAGTTTGCAATTTAATGGGAGACCTATGTTCAATTCGATGTTTGTCACGCTTTGTAGGCGGGTTGGCTAGTGGTTTTTTTATTTAATTATATTAAGTTGTTGCCAAGAAGATGCTGCTACCCATCTACTGTTTCAACCTCATCCACAAAATTTAATATCAATCCTCTTACGTACACATACGTAATCCGTTTTATTACAAAACTAACTGTTCCCCGCGACTGTGCTCGCGTGTTAGGGTTTTTATGTTTTTGCGCGGAACCCTAATTCTTTTTCTAGAATAAAAGTAGCCTAAGTTACTCCTTATAAAATCAGCTATTTGCCAGTGAAAGTCCCATAAAAATCGGTCTAGCCGTTTCGGAGATTAGCCGGAACAAACAGACAGACAGACAAACATTTTAAAAATTGTATTTTAGCTATAAGTACCGTATTTACTTTTATATAAATTTATTAAAAAACTGTAATTTTGACATTACTAACAGACACTTTAATTGTATTTATTTGTATAGATGTACAGATATATAGAATAAGTTTAAAACCACTAAAATACTAATTTTAAGTACTTACACACGTACTTAAAATTAGTCTCAGGTTTAAACTTAAGTATCTTTCAATAAAGAAGTCAGAAAGAAATAAAGATGTGTAAAATTATGACACCTGCCCATACCATCCCATGGACGTCTTAAGAGGCGAGCAGCGTCTTTCTGATGACAATTCAAAATAAAAACAAAACTGCAGTTACCAACACGCTTGCCAAGCGTGGCAACTATGGCAAAATCCCCCCTATGAGGCAATCTATGGGGGAGGCCTATGTTCAGCAGTGGACTTTTATAGCGGCTAAGGAACTTTTTTCATGACAAAAACTCTGCTTTGACCCGAGACCTCTCGGTAGAGAGTATGTAATAGGGTTCTGTGCCCGAAACAATCATAAGCTACGTTTTGTTATCTAAGGCAAAAAGTGTTTTTAAGCATTTTCTTTCTTTCTCTTACCTTGAAAGCTTTAGCACTTGCTACATCGGACGGATGGCAGCTAGCCGTTATTTCATCTGCTTTTGCAAGACCTATTGATATAAAAAAAAAACTTATATTAAAATAATAATCTGCACACGTTAAGCGTGATAGAATAAAAAATACATTGCACTTGAACAAACATCCTGACTTGAGACAATAATTATTTGTTGTAGCCAATACAAAATCTTTTTTCCGAGCAGGTATCGAACCGGTAATAAGCAGAGCCGCAGGCGCACGCTTAGCCATGCGCTACTGAGCCTTTATAATTATACGAAACAAATAGGCATCATTATAACAGCCGTATTATGGCAGCACGGTGTGTATGGGTTGGCTCCACCGGGAAAGGACCACTTTTTCAAAGAAAATGTAAAGCTTTTCTCTTCTTTTTTTAAAAAAACAATACGTTACCCCCACACTAGGATTTTCTCCTGTATCGTGGAGGCAGTTTACAAACATAAATTGCTCGAGGACAAACATCCAGAGCTGGAACAATTATTTGTAGGCCATACAAATACTTGTTCCGTGCGGGGTTCGAACCCGCGGCCCCAGTGCAACAACTCATTGCTAAGCCACTGAGCCACGGAGCCGTCAACGTTTTACTCCTAGGTATAGGCTTGGTGTTTTTTTTTATTTTATATTTTGGGCATGCAGGTTTCCTCACAATGTATTCCTTTTAACACAGTACTTAAAATTGCAAATTGTAATTAACAAATCTCTATTGGTGCCAGCGGGGTTCGAAATCTCGCGGTGCTGTGAACGAAAATTTACAGCAAACGCTTAGCCTCCGAGGTACGCCACGGTACCTCGGAGGCTAAGCGCACGCAGCAGTAACGTCATATTACTTCACTTTCGGCAGCACATTCCATTCTGTTGGTCCATACGAGTGAAATCACATTCGCACTGATGGAGCCACGGATGTGTGTGAAACATCGATATATATGTACTATGTACTAGATTGCGCATTCCGAACATATACTATGTTCAACTGAACTGTACTGTAATCCGTACAGTGTGTCATTTAGTGTGATTTCAATCTACTAGTTAGTCTGTGGTTTCAATATTCATGCAGTGTGGAGCGGCGCTAATAATACAAGATTTTAAATTAAAGTTGAAACCTGGACGTAAATAACAATTCAGTAGTCACGTAAGAAAAATTATTTGTTGTTCAAGTGAATAAATATGTAATAATATCGTAATATTACAATAGAAAAAGTCATGAAAAAATATATTTCTTTATATTAAATTGAGCGCGCAGGCGCGACTTTACTAACTCCCGCGCATGCGCGAAAACATAGAGTAGTGCACATTTTTTGTTTAGGAAGGCTTCTCTAGTACGAAGTACATATAACTCAATGGTGTGAAAGCATTTCCGTCGTCCTGTCGATATGTGACGATGGTGGAACAGTCATGGTGTCTAAGTCGGCACAAGTCAGACATAAGGCGTCACTAACCCTTCGAAGGCATTCCCCCGTGAAGACTGTATGCCCGTTTGTTCCCCTTACATGTATAATAAACATCTTCTTTATTCTTTTATCTATTTTTATATATTTATTTATCGGTTCATAAAAATCATGCTTTTATCACTAGCTGTGCCCGGCGACTTCGCCCGCGTTGAATTTACTACGGTTTCATGGATATCAATTTTTTTCTTATAAATATTAACAAATATTGACGTTAATATTTATACGATACTAACGTCACTAAATTGTTTTGCCTTCCCGGAACCCCTCCAATAATAGTTAAACTTCATGGTATGGTATTAAAGTTCAAATTGACTTTTAAGTATTATTATGAATATTTTTATTCGAAAATAGAAAAGTGTAGTTTCTAGACTTTTTCATGCAATTTTATAACTTTTTCTCTCCGTAAGAATCATCTCAGTACTTCAAGGAATATTATAAAAAAATAATTAGCGAAATCGGTTCAGCTGCTCTCGAGATTTGCGCTTAGCAACACATTTAGCGATTCATTTTTATATACTAGTACTATTATTTATTCTGTGTCCATACATCCATTCATTACAGCAAAAAGACCATTGCTGGTCACAAGCCTCCCCCACAGATTGCCGCATAGAGGGGATTTTGCCATAGCTGCCACGTGGTGCAAACAGAAACGCCACGGCAGCCTGTTATAACTTTGAGCTGTTATCACGAAGATGCTGTGCCCATCTCCTGTTTTAGTTTCCCTCTGTCGCCTCTTACGACACCCACGGGACGACATGGGGCAGTGGATATTCTTACACCGCCACTACACGGTTTCATTACAACTTGTCAAAAATCCACTGTTGAACCCAAAGACTGTCCCATTTATGGCGTGGTTGTCACGCTTTACAACCGCAGTTTTTTTTATTATTTTGCTGTATTTCATTATATTGTAATAAGGAGTATAGTGACGGCGTAAGATAGTCCACTACCCAATATGATCCGACATAGGGAAGTGAAACAAGAGATGGCAGCAGCATTGGCGTACATGCGCTATCGGTAGATATGATATGATAATATATTTTTCACCGCTGTGGATTTCATAGCGATATATTCCGATACTAGCTGTTCCCCACGACTTCGCCCGCGTGTAATTTAGGGTTTTAATTATGTTGCGTGGAACCCTAATTTATTTTTCTAAAATATAAGTAGCCTAAGTTACTCCTTATAACTTCAGCTATCAGCTAGTGAAAGTGTTGTCGATATCGGTCCAGCCGTTTCGGAGATTAGCCGGAACAAACAGACAGAAAGACAGACAAATAGACAGACAGACATAGAAAAATTTTAAAAGTTGTGTTTTTGTTATAAGTACCGTATATACTTTCATATGCATTGTTATTTTGACATTACAAACAGACATTTCAATTATATTTATATGTATAGATTTGTATAGATTACCTGCGGTAATAAATCCATTAGCTAACGCGAAAGCCAATCTGCCGCCTCCGATGAATCCGATCTTCATTGCTTCGCTTAATGTTACTGAAAGGAAAATAATAATTATAAGCTTTTCTAAACCATACAAGCTTCATAAAATTTATTAAAAAAACTGCAAAGAAAATGCAAACACACCGGTTTTCTGAAAGGACGATCACAGAATAATTAAACAGACTGTAATGTTAATTACACTACAATTGAGCTCTACAGTTTATACGAGCTGAACTCTAGAGCCACTCTGCAGCGAAATTATGGTTATAGCACGAATGGGTAGCTCGACCGGGTAAGGCACGCCCTCACAAAATACCAGCGTAAAATAGCAGCTAATAATAATGCTGCTGTGTTTCGTATGGTAACTATAGAGAACCGGAAACTATTTTACTGGAAATGAGGCATTCCATCTTAGTCCTCAAGGGGTGACAACACATTTGCATTTAGACTCTTAATCTATGATAGATGTAGATGTCTATGGGCCATCCACAGCATCCACGTAATATCAGGTGGAATGTGTGCTCGTTTGATAGCCTTATTTCTATTCTGTATATAAAAAGAAAACTTAAACCACCGGTAAATTGATATTTGGGTTGCAAAAAGAGTGATTAGTAATATATTATTTTATTTGGAAAACTTAGGCACAGCTATTTCTCTCTTAAAGATAGTATAGTAATTTAAAAATGAAGCTATCTCCAAGTTTACACTCTTAAACCCAGACCAACGAAAAAAGATAGACCGAGTATTTCGTACATTTATTTCAAGCAAAGAGATTTAAATATATAGGTATACTAACTACTACTAGCCTGAGAGCTGGCGACGAATTTTGGGAAGGTCCTTTTGGCAATTTGGCGGTTCCATTAAAAACTACGGTGAGCGATATTAATTTATATTTATTTATTTATTTATTACAAAGTATAGTTATTTAATAACATCCGACAGTACAAATAAACAGTACAAAAGTTTTTCCATGTACCAATTCGTAACTTCGATCATGTTCAATCGGTTCGCGTTGCGACAACTTATTTAATGACGTATATAAATGGTGTGACAAAATAGCAATATGTTTTTTTTTATCTAGGTGTGTACCAAAGCAAAATATGGTTAGTATTAAATGAAAATTAGTAAATTAGTAATTTTTTTTTATTTATGTATATTATATTATGATGTGTGTTAGTGTTATATGTTTAGTTTTATATTTTAGTTTAAGTTATTATTAGGTATCGTTAACAGTTTGTCGATAAAATACTGTTTAAGCATATATTTAATATTTTTTTCAGTAAGTTCATTTTTTATTGGTTTGGGAATTTGGTTCAAAAGAGCGGGAATTTGATATTGTAATCTAAATTTTCCGTACATATTTTTATATTTTGGGATAATCATATATGGATTAAGGGCTTGTCGAGTAAGTTTTGTATAAATACGGCTAATTTTTAATTCTTCCTTGCCATAATTTTCAAGTAGCAATAGGTATTTCTATATTTATATTATATATCTCCAGATATATAATATAAATTACATTATATCTCACAGTGAAAGGAGAGCTTTAGACTTTTTTGTCGTATTAATTTGAAAACTTTATTCACGTCTGTAAATTGTTTATAATCGCTAAATTTGCCTCGCGATTTGCAGGTATTATAAAAATTACTCAAAAAATACGTGATTAAAATTTAAGATTGCCAAAAGTAGATTTTTTGGGAATTAAAAAAATATTTTTGGAGAGGTCTGATAATACTTTATAACCGACAAAAACGTCTGGGATTATTTTTCTTGAGTTAATAAAAACTAAATTAAAAGATAAAAAGAAATCAAGTTGCCAAAAAAACATTTTTTTTTTGATTTTTTTGCAAATGTTATACGCTCCGCAGTAACGAAATAATCGCAAATGCTCTGCCAGACTCTCGGGACTAGATTTGCAAATTGACGAAATTATATTTTTTCACAATTTCATCATGCCAAAAGGACCTTCCCAAAATTCGTCGCCAGCTCTCAGGCTATACTTAAATGTCTTTGATTTCAAGTGATGTCGTAACCATGACAACTTCTTGACACACACTCATCTTTCTTTTTCCTTCCTTTATCAGCCCGTAGTTCTCTACGGGACGTTTAGTATGGTATAAAACTAAAACCGCGGTGTTGGTTACAAATGATTTTAACTGCTCAAGTGTGCGGGAGTGCGGTTCTTACAATGAGTGGAGCATGATTTTAGCTTGAAACGTACGCAGCATCATAAAACAGATAAACAAAAGCTACAGCTAAATACTGGAACGTATTTAGCTGTAGATTTTGTTTAAGCTGGCATACGCCTCTTCATTTCTAAGAGGCGTTATTATAAGGTATGAGGATTGTTATGTAATTACTCCATCTAATTGTTAACTAAAACTTAACGTTAAAACAATATTATGAATATTCTAAAATTATGATTAGGATTTTTAGGAAAACTAATCACTGGTTAAAGTTTTCATTATCACAGTCTGAAAAGAATAGAAGGGATTAATAACAAAGTTAAGCGAATTTATACCTAATTTTAGCGTTTCTTAATTAAATAGAACTAGTGGTCGCCTAGTGGTCGAATTTCGTTATGACATACATATGATTGGCCTTAGAGTAATATTTATGACACCCAATAAGTTTTGAGATATAGGTATAAAAAGTATTCTAGATACTATTGATATTTATTTTAAATCTTTTCAAAATATTCTCCATCATGCTCTATACAAAGTTCCATTCGCCTAAACCAACTCTGAAAACACTTTTCCCAGTCTGAATCTGACAAGTCGGAAATCGCTTCTTCGTAGGCAGCCACGGCTTCTTCGGCGCTTGAAAAAAACTTGTCTTTTATTTTTTCTTTGACTCTTGGGAACAAAAAAAATCACAAGGAGCTAAGTCAGTGCTATAGGGTGGGTGAGAGTTTCAACACCAGATTCCTCAATAAATGCTTTTGTTCTAAGGGAGGTATGTGAAGAGGCGTTATCGTAATGCAGCGTGGTTCCCCGAAGCATCTCTTTGGTCTCCTCTCCGCCATTCAGAGTTGATGACCTACAATTTTCCAGCATTGACGTCGACAAATGTCCGCTCCGCGAAGAAAAACTAGTCGCCATTTTTTTGCCAACGTTGCGAGGTCTTTGCAGTTTTGTCGGTAACTGTCCTTCTGAGTAGACCCATACCGATGATTGCTCTTTATTTTCCGGATTATATTGATAGATCCATGTCTCGTCACCAGTAACGATTTCTGAAACACGCCAAGATGCCCCGTTTTTAAAACATAGACGCATTTCATGGCACCAGTCCACACGAGTTTGTTTTTCGCTTTCGCAGAGCAAACGAGGGATCACACAACAAAGCTTCCTCACTCCAAGATGTTGATGTAGGATGGTATGAATGCTCCCCGAACTAATGCCTACTTTACATCTTTTCGATGTGCGTATATGTGATTCGTGGGTCTTCTCGCACCAGCATTTCAGTAGCCCATATATTTTCTGCCGTTACTGCTGTTTGCGGGGCCCCGGTTCTTTGGTCATCTTTAAGATTAATTTTACCCCTTTTAAATTCAGCAAACCACCTAAAAATTGTTGCGCGTGATGGAGCTGAGTCCCCTAATGCTGATTGTAAACGTTGTAAACTTAATTGTTCGGTTAAACCAAATTATAATCATAATATATCATAGCACGCAAATGTTCACTGTTAAGATCCATCGTTTTAAATGAAAAGCGCGGCAAGCGTTGCAGGAAAATTAATAGAACTTTGTTTTTTTTTTAATATTGAGCGATTGGCTTATGGAGTTCTATTTTTAAATAAATTTTCTTTTTAGAAACATATAACACGGGTGCGTTCCATTTTTAAATTTCGAGCATCTCAAAACTTATTGAGTGACCTACGTAACATAAATAATAATGCTTGTAATGAGGGATAATAATTTTCTGTTCACCAGATGTCGCTAGTTGACACTGAGGTAAAGTTTTTTGTTACTCAATGTCCTAGAGAAGTTAGTTTCAAATAAAAGTTTATCATTTTCTAGTATTATATTATTACACAAAACAATTCCTCAGTAGTTTGTTATGTAAGTTGTTTTTTTTTTTCACTTTTTTTTAATTATTTCTACTTTTATGAATATCTGTGGCTGGTTTTTTATTTTTTATTTAATTAATACAAAATATAGCTAATAATACAGAAATAAACATTAACCTTTACATTTTTGGAACTAAGTAACTTCCCCGCTATGAAATCTGTCAAATATTATACCTCACTTATAAGTGGCGCCTCCCTGATGGCAGAAAAAGTCGGGGATGCCAGTATCATTACATATATATATATATATATATATATATATATATATATATATATATATATATATATATATATATATATATTATATGTAGGTATATTTCTTGATGAATACTTAGGCCGCAAGTCGCTACGACCACAATACATCACACATCACAATACATCAATCATATACAAAGAAAAGAGATTAGTGCTTTTATTGTTGTATGAATTTTGAAAGAGAGTTTGCACAAATATTGTTTGAAACGGACAATTAAACCCAGGACTTCCGATAATGGCTTGACTTCAAATTATAAAATCAAATGGAAAACGACTCCGTGCGTAGTGGCTTAGCAATGAGTTGCGGCGTTAAGCGCCGCGGGTACCAATCCCGCACGCAACAAGTACTTGAATGGCCTACAAATAAATGTTCCAGGTCTGGATGTTTGTCCTTTTGATGTTTATGTATGTAAACTGCTTTTACGATACAGGAAAAATTCTTAGTGTGAAAGTAGCCTTTTTATAAAAAAAATATCAAATGAATCTCACCAATCGCAATATCAGAGCAACTTGTTCTATATATTTTAACTTGACATAAATAAATAATAAGCGATTGTACGTTATCAGTATCAGCACAGAATGAGTTGTAGGTAAATCTTTTTTTACCACATGTGACGTTTCATGATTTTTATTGCGGGCTGTCATACCACGTTAGGGCATGACATAATAAAATGTTATTGATATGATAAAATTATATTCATAATATTTTTAATTCGAATTTAAAGATAGGA